ATCGTAATGGAATTCAAAATGGCTGTGCAGCAATTTTCCATGGATGCACATGGTTTCATGGTTCATTTCTTGGAAAAATTCATGACAGCATACCGATCGGCGTCACCCGAATTGATTACGTTTTAACAAAATTAATTAAAATCCATTCCAAAAAAAAGTAGTTGAATATATCTCAGAAATTCTGTGTTTCGAAAGTGTACACCTAAATGGGAAAAAAGTAAACGTAGCGAGATTGTAAATCCTCGAGCTAAGAATAAATAGGATTATGTTAATATAATCTAACGAAATCGCTTACTATTTAGTTAAAATTAAAAACCTCATGAAACGAAGATTACGAATTCAAATCTCGGCCTCTTAACGTTAAATTAATTATTCGAAACGAAGAGGAGAAGGGATAGGAAATTTCGTGAGTGGAATCCCCTTTTCCAGGATTCCACTCAACGGTGGAGAGTGGAGCGAATGATTTACCGCGGAATAAATTCAGCCGGGCGAAAAAAGAAGGAGCGTCGGGTCTAATTAAGATTCGAGCGAGTGTCCCGAAAACGAATCGTGCATTTGTTACGCGAAAGACGAGCGCGAGTTTCGTGGAAACAAATTAGCATCCCGTTCGGTCTAATTATTCCGCGCTTTGAGGAAGTAGCGGCGCGAAAAGCCGCGGGCCGTAATTTCTATTTTCGCGCTTTCGTTCCGGCGCGAGGGTAACGGGATGAAGAATGAGGCCAATTAACCACTATATCATTAGCGGCGACACCATCGTGGCCGAATTGCCTTTCCTTACCGGAGTAAATCATCTCTGGATTTTGCTCGAAATACAACATATTAGTACGTTTACTAATAGTTTGTCCAGCGAGCGAATATTTCCGTGACACGTTGTAGATTTGCATACATCGAGGTACGAATTATATTTTACCAACTATATATATATATATATATATATATATATATATATATATACATACGACTTGATTTTTTATTAATTCTATGATATTCTAATCCTTACGAATTTTATCAAGATCGTGTAATTCTCGTACGTTCTTTGGCATAAAAAAAAAATCTGAGAATTTCATTGGTTACGAGGTGAAAGAAGAACAGAAAGAGATACGACGCGTAAAATTTTAAATACGATATATGAAGAGAAGATAGTTGATAGTTGCACACGCAAGCATCCGAGATGCGATCAGCAGCACCCCGTCGCGAGATTGGTGAAGCTTCCAGGTTGGCCCATTAAGGGAGCAATGACTAAGGTAGAGGGATCACGATTCGTCTAAAAGCGTTATTCGTCCGAATTAATATTCGAGTCTCGATATCTCTCATCCCGTCTACGATATTAAACGCGGTTCGAGGCGCACGCGTTCTCGCCGTTAACGTTAAGCGGCGGCCAAGAAAAATCGACCAACCCGATCTGGGGAATAATTCATCTGTCAGTACTCCAAAACGAGTTACAAGAGGGTGCAGGTGCGCGCCTATTAAACGCCGGTGACGAAAACGAATGACGCGAATAAATCTATTCGTAAATAATTCAAGACGACGTGGAGGAAGGAGATTCCAAGAGAATCCTCCTTTCAAATCGCGCGCCATTATTGTCGCTTTCAACCCGATCACCTCTGAACCCCCGTGCCTATCAACGATCCTATCACGAGCGAGCTTCGTTCCAACTTTGTCGCGTCAATCGAGTTTTAATATTTTACCCGATTTAATCGAGATTAAGAACGTTTCGATTGTAACTAAAGAGAAAAGATAATCCCTGGTCACGAACAACTAGCTAATCACGCTGAAACGTTTAACTAGAGATAGAAATCCATCGAACTAAAGTTCGAATAAATGGATTCAATCCTACGTCAATCTGGATTCGTATAAATCGTATCGAATCAATTGACGCCCCCTCCCGATCAATAATCGCTGTCCCACGATCCATAAGAGCCATAAAAATCGAGCAATCATCGAGTACGGTTCCCGAGGGAGCCCGAGAACGGGTGCAAGAACGGGTCGCGGGTCGATAGTACGCGTATCGAACGCGTCCACGTAGCGCTAAGCCAGGTACCATATCGCAAACGAATCGTGGAGCGCGATCGACGTCGAAGAAGAAGAACAGGTGGACGGTGGCGGCCGTTACCTCCCCTGTTTCCGGGAACCTAGAGAGGGAAAGAGAAAGAAAGAGAGAGAAAGAAAGGCGAGCCGCGTGTCCACCGAGCCTAAGGTGGCTACCTAAACCTGGTGGAAAGCCGCGCGGCAGGATCCACCACGAGTGGATTGCGCGGCAGTAACCCAAACGACCGACAATATAAGCCTGTACGCGTCGCCGATAGAAAAAGGGGGAGGGCGAAGAGGAACGATCTTCCACGTTTCCAAGTCGCGTTATTATCGCTGATCACGTAGCTACTTAGAAGCGGCTCTTCTCTCTCCGTGGCTTTTATACCGTAGGCATCTCTACTGGGCAAGGTAGTCGGGTGAGCCAGCCTGGTTTTACTCGTTCCCTGGTCCCTGCCGCTTCAGCTACCGCACCATCTCCTTCTCTCCCTCTCTGATCCTTATTCCTCCTTCTACCGCTTCTGCTCTTTTGCCGTTGCTGCGCTTCTTCTTCTTCTTCTTCTTCTTCTTCCACCTCCTCCTCCTCCTCCTCCTCCTCGTGCTCCTGCTCCTTCTCCTCGTCTCGCTGCTGGCCTCTCCGATCTCTCGCGCTGGTTCTCATTCCAAGCGTTGCGCGCCAGCGCGGCTTTGTAGGTATTTGTGGCTCGGTGCAGACGACGAGCGGTCCCGGCTCGGCCAGACAGCGCTGCGCCTTCGCGAGCTTCCAGGAATCGGTGCGCGCGGGAAGAAAGGAGACGCTTGCGGAGAAAAGCGCTGGCCGAGGCGGACGGAGCGAAGAGGGAAGAGTCGTGGGGCGACTAGACGGTGGGAACCTTTCCCGGCGCGGACGAGAAGCGTACCCGACACGTCCTATCGGCCGTGTCTTGTTTTGACGCCGAGTCAGCCGAGGTGCATCGACCTCAAAGGTCGTCGTGCCATCCCAGTCGAACGGAAAAGCGGCCCCGATCCTCCGCTTCCGCTTACGCTCACGCTCACGCTCGCACCGGACCCGTCTCGTAAAAACATTCCCCTTCCGCCACGTGTCCCGACACCAGAGCTCTGGGAAACGCCACTGTTTCGAAAACTACTTCCCTCCGCGTATTTTTTCGTTAACTTGGCGGGGACTTTTATTTTCGAGAATTTGGATGCTTAGATAGATTATCGATAAATTATGATCCTCATAATTTATTGAGCAAGATAAACGCAGCAGGAGGAGAAAAATGGAATAAAAAAGAAAAGTTGGATATCTTTGGATCAAAAGTACAGAGCAACGGTGTGGTTACTAATAAGAGGAAGTCTAACTGGCTTTCTTTGTCAATCGGAGAAGCAAGCGTCCTGGACAGGAGGATACAGTAGATACGTTAGTTGAAATAGTAGACGCACGAAGAAGTTACTTTGCATCGATAACGCAAATAACTCGTTCCTCGATTGGCTATCTTCCGTTTCGAGCTTTCAGAGGCGTTAACCTCGCCGCGGCAATAAATATTTCCACGATGGACTTCTCAAGGAATTATTTCTCCGTGCCGATCAGCCTGGCCCGCTTAGTTAAGCCCGCTTAAATTACGCGCGCGTCCGAACAATCATTTAGGAAAAACAGTAACGCGTGCCTTTTGCTCGAGGGTATCCGGTGACTTTTTATTCACCGGGAAGAGGCCTCCACTCTTTCGCGGTGGGAGAGACGCGAGGTGGACTAGGCACCACAATAACTATCAAGCGGAGCTTATTGTCCTTCCTTCAGGGATGCCCCCGGCCAGGGCCAGCCGAAGGGGTAGGCCCATTGTTGAAGACATACGCGTGTACGTCCGGCAATACGCAGCCGCCTTCTCTCTCGCCGCTCAAGATCTATCGTTGGAATTTGCGTATGTAGATTAACTCCCCTGCCGGGGCCTATTGTTCCCTAAGAAGAAAGAGGACGAGCGGGAGGCCGCGGGTATCTCTCCAGAGGTATACGCCCGCTCGTTAAAAGGTGGACTTTGCCGGAACAGAGAGATGCCGGTGATGAGAAACGCGAACAGATCTTTTGGCCTAGCTTTTGCTCGATAGAATAGTCGCGCGAATAGGATTCTTGATAAGCAATTGTAACCGAGAGTTCGCGGTCGCATTTTTATGGAGGGAAAATTTTGAGGTTAGGTACGTCGACGTTGAACATAACCGTTTTTATAAACGCGATTGATCTTAGATAACTAAAGATATGTCGATGATTGTTCCTAATGTCTCGTGATTTGACTAGCTATTCGACATTTTTGGTCTAATAATTTCGTATATAATTATATTTCGTGTACGGTTATTTTCGGAAGATTCTATGTAGTAGTGGATTATATGAAACGATGTTACATAAACAAAAACTCACCAGAAACCATGAAGGGATATTCAAGGATAAGAAACGAACGTTAAACGGCACCGTACGTTTTTCCATACCGAAACCATACGTACACTCGTTTCTCCAATAAATCGAACAGAAAGAAATCGCATGTCAGTCAGCGACCGTAAACGTCACCCGACACGATTTCCACCGAACGAACGGTACCCGGTTGGAGGTTGCCATCCGCGCAAAATCACTGCGGCAACGGAATTTGAGAAACCGATGTTACGCTCTGGGCAAGAACCATCGAATGCTAAAATACAGTGGCAATTACCTCGGACTCGGACATGGCTTGGACCAATTAAAGGAAGGATAGCAACCGACGCGACCGAGGATATCCCGCGACCCGTGAAATCTAATGCGATCGCATGCGCGCGCATCTGTTCTCTCTCTTTCTCTCTCTTTCTCTCTCGCTCGTTCTCTTTCTCCCTTTTCTATCTTCTTCCTTCACGCTGTGCACAGTACAGCCAAGGTACGCGCATGCGTGTGCACATGCGCGCTGCGTGCGTGTGTCCAGGCTCGTAATAAAAAAATTGACGACATCGCCACCGCGCCGGCGACACGACGGCTCCCCGCCGACCAATAGCTATTGATCAGCGGCTCTCTTGTGTCTGTGCGTGGCCGACGGCTTTGGAAAACGTGCAACAGATCCTTGGACCGAGCAATTCGAAAGGGACATTCGAAGCCACAAGCTTGCCCCTTTAAAGTTGGTCACAATTTATTTCGAGCTACGTGGATACTACGCAGCATCCTGTTTCCGTCCACGATCCCTCGCTGTTCGAGATTTTCCAATGGAAACTTGACATGAAGATGATTGCACTTCATTGTGAGGTATTATTTATATTTTCTAATACTCGATGAATGCACACGAACGAAATACATATTCGATTTAGGAATTTAGGTTCATAATACGAAAATTATGAATATTTATATTTCGATAGCGTACTGTACGAGTTTAGAATAGGTTAGGTTATGCAAAGGTCTGAATATGCGTCGTATATTTGTATCGTCGAAATGATGGAAAAATCAACGCGATCAAGGGATTTTTTGGTAGAATTCAACGTGATTGGGAAAATATTTAGCGGATTGGCATAGTTATTAGTTAGTAGAATTGAGATGATTCAATTAGAAAAGTTAAAGAATTATGTATTTACATATATTCGATCTATCTCCTAACATAACCTAATTATATTTATTGTATATTTTTCTTAGTTTTCTATACATGTATACATATTGTCGTAAAGTTCGCTTTAAATTATAATATTTTTCCCTTTATTAGATGAATTAGTGAATCAATTTCCGATATAAATATCTAAAATAAAGTCGTGACAAGTATAATTTGACTTTAATTGACATCATTGACATATTGTACTATTTATCGACACATAACTCATACCATCGACATTAGTGCGATTCGACTGTTGAAAGTCATAGGTCTGTCTGCAAGTTGTAATAGGTAGCCACGCTCGTTCGTTATCCACGACGTAGTTCTGCGTCGTTTACCGCTGCCAACTATCTCGATTACTGTCCGAGAAATCGCCGACTTCGAGGTGGACTTGACGATTCTTCTCGCGAACGATGTTTCAAAGACATTTCGAGAATCCATCGCGTGAATATTCCTCGTGAATCATCCTAATTGATTTATATCTCCGTCCAGTTATTTTATCGCGAATTCCACGTTATCCATTAAAATCTATATTATCGAATGTAGAATTCGAGGGATCGAACAAAAGAATAATGATCTCAAAATTCGAGCCTGAACGATTTACGATTTCCTCCTGGCCAAGACGAAACGCGATGATTATCGTTTACAGCCGGTGAAACGCAGTTGTTAGGCCTCGTTTCGACTGCCAAACGTAGAGGAGACAATCGTGAGAACGCAATTGAGTTTCCAGCCAACGATTCAAGCCAAGGATTCAGGCTTACATGGATCATCCCAACCATTACGTCAGTCCACGCAATATATTATTTACGTTCTGTTCGAGATGTTATTCTTTTCCCTCGAATAATCATCTCGTCAATAGCATCGATTGATAAGATTTTTACGATCGAATAAAAGACTCGTTCAAGCACGCACCTACTCGCCGTTTACAGATTATTTACATTAGAAACACAGGTATCGTTATACATATATTTACCAACGATTTGAATAAGCGCCGAGTATTTGAAAACATGTACGCAATTCGCTGAGAAAAATACGTTTTCTCAGACGTACGATAATTATCTTAGAATAAATCGCGGATATCGTGCACCGTCGACAAAAAAATTCCACATTGTACTGCGAACGCATCGAAAAGAGAAAAGGCAGGGTGAAGAGGCACGCAGGAGAGGTTGGGTGCGTGGGAATGCGTTTCCATTAAATCGGTCGATTTCTTGCTCGGCCACGACGAACAAGCGACGAAATCGAACATAAAGCACGGTAACGATTCTCGGTCAGGATGTCGTGGACTTTCTAGGATGCTTCTTCTAGGGGCCTTCTCGATCATCGATCTTCCGCGTCTCGTTTGACCAACGCGGTGAACGGTGACACGGAAGGCGTCGTGAGCTTGATTTATGAATATTTTTCTTGGACTTGTACATGTGCTGTCTACGATACCACGATCGCTCGAAAGTCGATGATGTTTTGTGTTGATTTGATTTCAGATGGTCCCGAAGATAGATCCAAGCTATGAAATTACTGTCAAGATATCGAAGACAAGATGATACGGCCAATCGTACAAGAAATTTTATCTATTTTTGTTAAAACTTTGTATAGTATGTACAATGAATTATACGTGCAGTAATTTCTTTTCATCCCACAAATTTTTATCATTAACTTCTTTTGAATTTCAATAAATATTTAGATTTTTGATTTTACAAATAATTATTAAATAACATTGACTTTTTCTTTCAGAATAGAAACACAACTCTCCAGTGTATTCGTCGAATATCTATTTCCCCGAAAAGAAATTAGAATACACATCAAAACAAGCGTTCCCTCTTTAATCGGCAGTACTCGAGATTTAATCAATTAAATCAAATTACCCGTCACGCAAAATATCTAAACCTAGAAACTCCAATTTTGGATCCCGAGAGAGCTACCCGTCTCCCTAAACCAGAGTATTGGCAACCGACGAGAGGCGGTCGCGATCGAAAGAGACGAGGAGGGTTTAAAAAAGGAGCAGAGCAGCCAGGGTCCGAGGCGTGTTTCAAAATCGTCGCCGCGACCTTGCCGGCGAGGACGCCGCGTTTCTCCGCCGCGCTGCTCGTTCTCGATCACCTCTCTCGATCCATCGATCGATCGATCAGGTCGGCCCCCGGGTACAGCTGACCGATGACTAAGATTACGCGGCACCGGCCGATTGTAATTGGCTCGCGCAAAACCTATCGCGTGCGCACTCGCCTCTAAAACGCAGTAAATCAGCGGCGGGTTAAGGATCGCTTATAAATAACCAATTAGAGACACCTGCGTTCGTCCTGTCTCCCGCGTCGAGCGGAGAGCCGACCTTATATCCCCGCGGAATGCAGATGCGCGACCGTTTCGCTTTGATCTTTATTCTTACGCGCGGTATCGCGCGCCGCCGATCCTTTGTACCTCTTTGTATCGACAGTTATACGTACCAGCTGGCATTTGTACCTGGCGGACCTTTCGACGGGGAGGAGGGAGGAGGAAAAAGTATGCGATGCTGATTAATAGGCGAGCCCAATGGTGTTTCAATCGCCTTGGATCCCGGACAGGAAAGCGCGCCCCGTTTCACGGACACATCTAAGAGGGGATCTAAGAGGGTTTGTACAGAAGCAAGGAACTGGATACGATGAATGGAGAAAGATGGGATGGGCTTTTTCCACTGATTCTTATTGAGGATTCTTATTCGGATGTCCATCTTCGTTTCTGGTTGGGTTGGAAACATTGGATGGAAATATGGTGGAAAGTATATAATACGTCTGATGGATATCGATCTTTGGATCGTCGAGATATCAAGTATACGATAATATCGGGTTTCTCTAATATTTCAATGTCTGGAGATTTCATTTCGTTTTCATTTTTCTATTCTGCGCGATATTATAATATTATAGATACTTATATCGATTTTATCGATGGAAATTTTCTTTAGAATTATTCCTTAGAACGAGTTTCAAGTGAAAATTACGAAAAAACGAACCTTGCGAACGCAACAATACGGTTATTTAATCCTTTCACAATCCATTTAATTTAATTTAATTTAATTTCAAACAATAGTCTCTTATCGCGATCATACCTTCCGATTAACCGTAGAGGTAACAAAATCTCACCTATGAACTTGCCATTCGTTTCACGATGCGCTCCGACAGAAGGAACAAAAAGCAACGCGAGAGGAGGACAACGAGGACAGTTAGCCGGTAGGCAATCGACGATACAGGGAAAGGAGAGGGACAGCCGAGTAGAACTATGGAAAGAACAGAGGGAACGAACACGGAGGCTCGCGTCACGGTGTACATGAATCGTTGTTTGTGTTGATCGCCGTGCAACACGCCACGCAGAAACACATCTGGTCGCGTGGGAAGATCGCGCTCCCATTACACGTCGACCAGGTAAAGTTACGCCGTGTTTCTCTATTCGTTCGAAATTCGCGCGTCTCCTACAATTACCTGAAGTACGATGAGTTCGGTGATTGGCCCGTTAGCGCGCATGCGCTTAGAGAAATTCACGAACCTCGCATGCGAACGCGTCGCATTAGTCTTCTTCGAAAAGTGATTCGTGAATTTTGTAATAAAATAAAAGATTCAGTTTGTGATTTCGCTTTGTTCTTTGTTCAATCTATCGCCAGTGATTTTCTTCCAATCCAATTTGACGAAATATAGAAGTAACTGATAGCTTCGTTCGCACGTAGGTAGGTACACACGAATCACATATTCGTTATAGGTTATAGGTTAGGAAATTGGACATTGCGAGAAAATATTATCTCTTAGTTACTAATAATACGTATAATTTAGAAATAATGCGAAAATGTAGTAATGTTTATGTAAGAAACAAGAAAGAATATATTCATTGTTCGGTTTATTTATCGAATAGTTAAAATACAACGTAAAAACTAACGCAACGCGATAGAAGAATCCTATATTTTACGAATACCGCATTTCACGAAAGAATACGCGACAAAACGACAATTATCGGTCGACAAAATGATTCTTAATAACATTCGCGATACGAAGAAAAGTAAAATTTATAAAGATCCACGATAAGCGAAGCTGTGGACAAGCACTTACGCTTCTTACACATCCGCCTAACCTAACCGACACACTACACAACCTGCAAAAATCACTTAACAAAAACACCTCGCACGGGAGAACACCGGTCATAAACTACCAATAAATTACAAACCGCTGTACCGAGAAAACCATCAACTTAATTCGAAACGAAGGTAGCGGGATTACCGGGGCCTCGTCCACCTCGGTCTCCCTCTTATCCTTATCTCGTCGGCGCGGGTAATTGAATTAAGTCGCCTCGTTATTTCCCGCGGTAATCTCGTGTCCGCACGGGGCGGCTTCGTCGTTGCGGATCTCGTCCGCAAGGCCTCCTCTTTGCTTTATTGCCCGATACAATTTGTCCCGGTCCCCCGTTTTATTTATCATACCTGGTGCCCGCTTCCGAGAACCAGGTCCCGATTCCTCTCGATAAGTTCTGGTGAAAAGAAGTCGGACGGGAAGCCGAGCATATATATACGTAGGATAGGACGATTGGTGGAGGGTTGCGAAGGTGGGCAGCGAACTTTAATTTACACTCTCGGTGATTTATCCCGAGGCGGCCTCCACTTCCGTCTCCGATTCGACGATCGCCGCGCTCGCTCGTTTCTTATCTTCGTTTTTTTTTCTCCCCCCTTTTTTCTTTCTTTCTTTCTTTCTTTCTTTCTTTCTTTCTTTCTTTTTTCTCTTTGCCGCTCTCTTTTCTCTCGCTTTCGCCGCGAGTTTTCGGGAGAGGCTCGCGCTTTTTGATTTACGATCCTCGAAGACCTCGAGGCAGCGGAACGGAAAGGCTGAGAGGAGCCGCGGAGAGGAAATGGAGAGAAACGGAGAGGGGGAGAAAGAGAAAAGAGGCCGTTTGTTTTGCTCTTTTCGAGTCAATTTCGACAGTCGCCTCGTTACTCCGTTGAATTTACGACGCATCGGGATATATCGGCTGCGAGGGACCCGCGGCTCTTGTCGAATCTTGTATTTGAACGTATTCGAACCCCTCGGCCATGGATAAACGCGCGAAATTATGGCGGAGGCGAGAAACGATCGGCCATCGGGTAATGATGATTAATAGATTGTTCGATCGTGGCACGTATCATGCGTTAAGGGAGTGTAATATATATAATATACATATATATATATATATATATGCGCGCGCGTGCGTGTGTGTTATCTATTTGAACGTGATGAATGTAGTTACGCGAGATCGAATATCTTATATTAGATCTTGATTCGATTATTAATATCTCGATCAATAGAAATGTTTATGCATTTATGGAAAAGTTAAATATATTCGTATTTAATTTGATTCTGCAAATATTCTATCTATATTCCGCGTATTCTGTCCTCTGTTGTTACGTGTTTTTTCTAAGAGGCGATATTTTCTTTCGAAGCAAGACTCGTGGATATTATTCGACCGTTATTATTATCCGCGTAAACAAGTTCTCCGCGATAAACATTTCCTCCTATTAGTCATCTCCTGTTAGTCATGTTCAGGTGGCGTCTATTTACAAACTTATCTTAATAAATCTTATCTACTAAAAGGTTTCTCAATCCGACAAACAACCGAGAAAAAAATAAATAGAAATAATCCTTGCAAAAGATTTATCACGAAAGATCGCCGAGAAAAAACGTTTAATATATTCACGCGTCGCTCTTCTTCTCGCATCGAAGATTCATTTTAACGTAATGGAAGACTCTCTAAGGCAAATCAATTATTAGACACTATCGAGAGATTCATCTAAAAAAAAAAAAAAAAAAAAAAAAAGAGAGACAGATCACCTCCCCATCGTTACATTCGTAACTTCTTAATCCTACCCTTTAACTTCGATAATATCAAGCAATTCAACCACCCATTCGCGGATCGCACAAAGTATCAAACGAAACCGAGCCACGTCGCGCATTCAAAAACCAACAGACGATTCCATCGTCCGCGATACAAAACAGGAAGAAAGAGCGAAGGGGAAGGGAAAATAAAAGGAGCAAAAGGGGGAGGAAGAAAAAGGAGGAGAAAAAAACCGCGGAGTAATTTAAACTCTGTGAACGAGGGGAAGGTAGGGGGTGGGTTGTTTTCGTCTTGTTTCGAGATCAAATCGGCAAACGTATCGGTCGGAAGCGAGCACCGGTGCCAGAAAGATTGACTTTATCTCGTGGCAAACCGATGTTCCGACCCATCGTCCCTCGAGACGGGCCCTCTCTTTCTCTCTTTCCCTTTCTCTCTCTCTCTCTCTCTCTCTCTCTTTCTTCGTTTCAAATCCGACCAAGGAATTACCAACGAGGGCACAATATGTCGGGCCCCATTAAAATTTCGAGCGATGCAAATGAAAGTTTTTCGGGTCCCGCGAAGCTTGACAAGCGGCTGCTATTCGCCCTGCGCCCGCTTTATGCGCCACTCTGGACGAGTGACAGCGAGGGCCCCGCCGGAATCTTGTATAATTCGTCCGTTGGATGGAATTAATGGGCCGTCCGCGAATTTATCACTCGTCGGGACTCGGGGACGGAGTCATGGATCGAAGATGAATATTGATTTCTTCTCTTTTCGAATTTCGTGGGGTGGTAGGAAAGGGAGGAAAGTGGGAAGAGTGATTTCTCGGATTGATCGGAGTGAACTAGAGAGATATAAGATGATATGAAGGTTGACGAGGAATTTGATGGAGTTTTGTTTTTCGGCAAGGTTTTAAATATATGAGGGGCTAGATATTTGTGGTGAGATGGAAATATGTATACGTAATACGAATATTTTCCTTTTATATAATCATCTAAATTATATAATAAGCAGTTTTTACATTGATTTTCAAGTGTGTCTCACACGAAGATGACGATTAACACGTTGAACGAGTTTTTCGGCGTCCCAAATTTAAAATTATTTAATAAAATCATTATTCGTCATTATCTGCACTTAGAACACGTTGTAATTTTTGAAATGAATACGTGGATAATGGATAATGGTTCGTTCTTCCTTAATGAATGCGCAACAATCGATTCATCTCAAAACAATGGACTATAAAATTAATGGTTCGCGAAACATTATCCTCACCGTGCGGAGGATTACATCCATTAATTCATAATAATCTCCACTAATTTTTTAGTAAATAAAGCGAAAATTTCATATTTCACGAATTTTATTACGAATTCTGCAACAAACACTGATTCATTGTCCCAGTTAACCGCACGTAATTTCTTTCTTTCGTCCATTCATTTATTTGACGAATGATTCGAAAGGAGGAACACGAAGGAATTCAATTACGATTTGTGGAATTACCCGTTGCAAATGCACCAGAGAACCACACTCTCGAGACACGCGTTTCACATTCGAGATTCTTAATTAATTCTCCCGTGAGATTTACGGTGCCATTCGTTACGTTCAATCGCGCTCTATATATATCGTACACCGAATAGAACGTAATCGTAAGTATCGATAATATCAAGTTTTTCAAGATCACTATACAGTTGATTCAGCTCGTTTTCGTCACGAGAGTGGACCCGGTATCAAATCGAACGAATAGAGTTTGAAATAAAATATCTTTGGTGTACTGCACATTCGAAATATGTAAATTGTTTTATCATGAAATTTCTCGAAAAGGAATACCGGTATATATTATCACCATTGCTTGTACTATAAATTACAATAAAATTTCCCTATATAATATGATATACACGCAAAGATAAAAACTAAATCTAAAATTATCTTCCCAGTTTCGAAATATTAGAAATATCATTGGGCCAAAATTTTTTTCTATTTCTTTTTTATTTACCGAACGTGCATAAACCACGGTTTGGGATTCTAATCCGAGCACCGCGTAAACTATCCTTTAAGAGGCAGCAGCGTGTACGCTGAGAAATCAAGGGAATTTCGCTTAACGAGTCGATTAGAATTCGAGAGCCGAGCCGCGTTACAGGAATTTTATATCGGCGATTTATCGGCATATAGTTTAGGAGCTAAACGGAATTCCACTTTCCGAACCGGCAGCTTCCGTCTAATTTTATCGGCTTCGTTTCCTTCTACGTGCCGGCAAACATTCGAGGAATCGATATCGATTAGCATCGCGCGTTGGATGGCGAAAATCCGGCCGTGTGTCGCCGTGATCGAGGCTTCGCTTATAGATTATAGGATCGCGATTTGCTTGCCGGTAAAATTGTCGATTTTACAAAATCACGAATTTTCTTTTTTTTTTTTTTTTTTTTTTTTGAAAGTACCTTCGACAGTAATTTAATTTTCCGACGACGAGTTTAACTTAAACGCGTTTAACGTTTTCCTTTTAGATTTATATTATTCGAGATTTCGAAATTGAGATTTTAATTCAGGAGCACAGGTGTGAGAACAAAGTGTCGGGGAAAAATTTTTTCGAAACGCGCGAAGAACATTCGTGAAACGTGTTCTGAAAACGGATCTAGCGAAACAGGTAGCTTAACTAGTTTAATAACTAATTCATAAGTCGCTCGCCTATTAATAACCTAATTTTTATCGCACGATATAATGTAATATTAATGTGTCGATTCTAGATCGATCACAGATCGTCGTATATTATCCTCGATATAAATGTTACTTTTTTACATATATATATATATATAACTAGATAAATTGTTTCACAGTATAATATTTTCAACAAATTTATTCTCTTTTTTACCAGCGTTGATAAAAATCTGATTTAGATCAATT